CCGTAGTCGTCTATGGCTGCATCATCTCAGCTGTTTTGGATGTAGGATCAGTTGGGCCACTGCTTCAGGGGGTCTTGCTTGATCAAACCATGTTAGTCTGGAAGGAATCCACAGCTTTCCATTTTCTCTGGAAATACAAGCAAGAACTTTTCTCCCAAGTAGCCTGTCCTTAGACTTAAATTGTGAAGTCAAAGCATTTTTAAAATGTGTAAGTTGGATTAATTTAGCAGCATTTATAATCAAACATATTGTAGCAGCTGTACCTCTTTCCTCGGCAATCAAATAAAGACAACAATATAGCATATAGTATCCAGACTCTCTGTGTATTTTCCATCTTTACATAACTTTTTATTATTCTATTTCCTTTACTTCCTTCTTTTTTCTTTTTTCCTGAGACAGGGTTTCTCTGTGGAAATCTGCCTGCCTCTGCTTTTGGAGTGCTGGAATTAAAGGTGTGTGCTCCCACTGTCCAGCTACTCTATTTCCTTCTGTTTCTTTTTCCCTCACAAGCCTACATATATTTTTAAATACAGTGTAAACGTTTAGAGGTTTTTCTTCATCTGAATCTGTCTTTACTGTAAATCTTTACCTTTTTCTGGCCACGCAATCTTTTAACTGTTAAAACAACACCGCCAGAATTAAAGCGGCAGGTTTCTTAGCTGCTTTATTTCCAAGATGGCAGGAGTATATTTACCATCAGCTCTGAGAGCTGTGCTCACTGCCTTGGTCTATGTTGCCATCAAGGAGCATGCTGCTGGCTTGGAGATGTGGTCACTGCAACCGCTAGCTGCGTGGGGCACGAACCCACATTAAGAGTCTCATGCTCTACCAACTGAGCTAGCCAGGCCTCCTAAAAAGAGCCCTGTGGGTTTTTTTCTGCTTTTGCTGAGTTTCTTGCTTAAGAAAGCAAGAAACCTCTCTTAAAGGAACTGCTCGAGTCTTTGTTTGTCTCCAGCAAAACAGAGCCCACCCGAGAAAATGCTGCTAACAAGAAGTTGTGCTTGTCTCTGTTCTTTTGCTGCTAAAATTCCTTTTTAAGCTTTTGTGAAGTTTACATGGAAGTTCATAACACTACCACCAGCCGCCCAGGTTCTGCCATCACTTGACTAGTCTCGGGAAGGCGGCTCTAAAGCACAGACCCTAACGTCTAGAACTCTCAAGGGCTGCAGGATGTCTTGGAAGTGCCAAGTCCAAACCCAAGAGCACAGGACAGCACAAGCATATGGAAGCTGCTCCGATGCCGGGCAGCAGCTGGACAGGGCTGGCTGCAGCAGCTGCAGGTTCACCGCTTCCTCTAGGAACCTTCGGGCATGGAGTTATCCCACTTGCTGACATCATTCTTTAACGATAAGTCTTTACACTGCTGCCCGAGTTCTGCCCGCCACCATGTGGTTGCCCAAAATAACACACAGAGTCTTATATTAGTTTACAGTGCTGTTGGCCAATTGACTAGGATTTCTTATATGCTAGCTCAGTCTTAATTATCATAAATCTGTATATTTAGACGCCTTCCGCTGGCATCCTCTTCCTGGGATAACATGGTGGCACCAGAGCAGAGATCAGGAGGAAGAGCAAGAGCAAGAGAGCAACTTCCTGTTTGTTCCTGCTTATATATGAGTCTGCCTGCTATGTCACTTCCTGCCTGTATCACAAGACTTCTTACTACATTTCCCAGAATCCTTGACTCCTAGTCCCACCTATCTTGCTTTCCTGTTGGCCAACAGTACTTTATTTATCAACCAATAAGACAAACATATACACAGAAGGACCCCCCTCCCCATCTCCTCTCAGATGAGGTGTCCCTAGCAATTGGATGTTTAAGCTGGTCTGCAGAACAGTTAACACATTAGTCACCCAAACTCTGATGGTTCCATGAGAAAAGCTATGTGCTCATGAAGGGTACCTTCAGAGACCTTACTGTTCTTGCTTCTGTGAGCTACAGGATTATGAAAAATGGAATCACCTTATGACAAACTGAAGACTAGATGGAAGCTAGAGAGAAAGAGACAAGGAAATTTCATTGTAACTAGCAAAAATTATTTTTGCAAAAAAAAGTAGGATTGTATGAATTGCCATTGTTGATCATTTAAAGCAAGAGATATTTTGACTGATGCTGGGATAAAGCCAAGAGCTTCCCTATAAAGGACCTTGAGACTCAGTGGAGCACAACTGGAAAGGGCTGTGGTCTTGTCTAGGCCTTGCCCTACCAGAGGCAGCCAGGACCCCACCTTACCAGCCCTACAAGAACTAGTGCCTCATAGAGTGTGGGCATGAGGCCTCATTTTCCTAATACACCTCCTTAAGACAAGGCCTAATAGCCATACCTAGTTTCAGACATCACCAGTCCAGGCTTTGAGATCCCTCAACTCAGAACCCAGGCCTAAGTGGCTTCCTTAGCTTTGTTGAAAGAAAGAAACTCTCACTGGTTTGTATCAACTCTGGTGATTCCTAGCACTGCTGTCATAATTTTCCTCACATCTGTTAACTTCAAGAAACAGCTCCACAGCCATGGCTAAGTAAACATGCTCTATGGCAGAGAACTCGAGGTTGCTGTTGTTACTCTGAACAAAAACAAAACAGTTTCTCAGATTCATCTTCTCATTTGGTATTCTCCATTTTTATACACAAGGGAGCAGGTCCTCAGAGAAGACAAACTCCTTTGCCTTATAAAAGGAAGAAGCCAGATGTAGAACCAGGTCTCCTAAGTGGGCGCTGGCTTTCTCATGTCTCAAAATGGGACATGCTTGCTACTGTTATAACATCTCTCCTGGAAAGCAGGAATTGGGATTGTCAACTACAGAAGGAGTGTGGGTACATGGTTTAGGTATCTCTGGAGCCTCAAAAACTCTTTCCAAATCACTTTTAGGAAAATGTTTCCACAACTAACCTCCTGCAGAGGATAGTTACTAAAGATAGATTTGACTTTGGGTCCAAGCTTGCTAAGCTAATTTAGGTAATAGAAATAGTCCTAAAATCCTAGGGCATCTTACCACTTAGGGTCTCTTTAGCCAGATAATGAATTTATATTTAATCACATAATCTCAAAGATAAATACTTGGACAGTAAGATCTTCTGATACTTAAGTCCCTCACATGTGACCAAGGCTAGGGAACTGATTTAGTTTAGGTAGAACTATCTGTCTAAGTTAGGGTTTCTTTTTTTTTAATGAATAAACCTTTCAGTTTATTTGCATATTTTTGTTACATATACAGTGTTCTGTTTGCATATTTGCCTGCACACCAGTAGAGGGCACCAGATCTCATGATAGATGGTTGTGAGCCACCATGTGGTTGCTGGGAATTGAACTCAGGATCTCTGGAAGGGCAGTCCAGTGCTTTTAACCTCTGAGTCATCTCTCCAGCCCCTAAGTTAGGGTTTCTATTGCTGTTACAAAACACTATGAACAAAAAGCAAATTGGGGAGGAAGGGGTTTGTTGGGCTCACACTTCCACATTTTAGTCCATCACCAAAGGAAGCCAGGACAGGAACTCAAACAGGGCAGGAACCCAGAGGCAGGGGCTAATGCAGAGGCCATGGAAGGGATCTGCTTACTGGTTGTTACATGACTTGCTCAGCCTGCTTTCTTATAGAACCCAGGACCATCAGCCCAGGGTGGCACCACCCACAATAGGCTGGCCCCTCCCCCATTCATTTAAAACCAAAGCACATACAGTCCTGGTACTATCTACTGTTCTACTCTCTACCGTGAACCTCCCCCCCCCTTTCTTCCTGGAATGCTCCTCTTCCCCAGCTGGGACATGGCTATTCCTCATCTGGATAAGGTGTCACTCTCTAAGGAAGAGGGCCTTGAACAAGGCATAGCTGGGATTAGGTGTCCCTTCCTGCAATTTTGTATTATCAAGAAAATATCTTAATGGCTGGATCTTATGGAGGCATTTTCTCAATTAAGTTCCCTCCTTTCCAATAATTCTAGTTTGTGTCAAGCTGACGGAGACCAGCTAGCATGCCATCCTAAGATGGTCTCAGATTTAGCTTCCATTGTGTGGTGATATAGTAGGACCATGATGTGGGTTTTACTACCTGATATTGGCCATGGAGGGGCAGAATTGGCATGAGATTCCCTTCACAAAAGCTTATAGATGTTCCCCAACCCCTCAGAAGACTTCCTGTGGTATGGATGGACTTCTGGGTTTCCCAAGATGTAGTGAGAAGCACTCTGCTGAGTGACAGAGTCAAGTTCTAACCCTGATCCTGATCGCTGTGCCTGAGCTCCCCCAATTTCCCTGGAATGCTTCTGTAGAACAAAGTCAATACAGGTGACTAGAGGCATGGGAGGAGCCAGTTCTCTGCAGACAGGCCTTTAACCAGGTGTCATAGAGTAGTTCTGCTTCTAAAGAATCCTCATCCGAGACCTTGGGAGACAGCTCAGTAACTAAGAGCACTTGCTCTGAAACTGAGGACTTGAGTTTGAATCCTTGGTACCCACATAAAAGCTGGGTATGTGTCTGTAACTCCAACACTTTGTGGCAAGGACAGGCAGATCTTGCAATCTCACTAGCCATCCAAACTAGCCAAAACAGTGACTTTCAGGTTCAGTGAGAGACCTTGGCTCAGGGAATTGGGTAGAAAGTGATAGAAGGAAGACACTTCTCTGGCCTCCACATGTGTGTGCATGGGTGCATACAGAATCCTCCTCTGAGCACGTGCCCCCCTTCCCACCAGCCCTGACCCTCTTTCTAGCATCTTAGGACTATGGGATTGTCTTCCACCTAAAGTAGCTCTAGTTTCTTTTTAAGTTGTCCTTATACAGAAAAGGCCTACTACTATCCCAGGCCAAGAGGAACAGTCTAGAAAAACCAGAGTCCAGAGAGGAACCCAAGTCTTGAGCTCCTAGTGGGAGCCAGGAGCCATGACTGATGCACAGGCATTCTGAATCCCTAAAGGGCTTTATGTCTTCTTGTTCCATGTACCTGGCGCCCGCAGCACTCTGCCAGTCTTTCTAAGGCAGTTCTGACTTTAACTCTGGTTTTATTTCCCAGGTGAATCCTTTGTCCTTGGAAATAGCCTGGCCCGGTCCTTGGAAACACACTCAGACTTAATGGACTCTGCCTTGAAGCCTGCCAACCTTGTCAGCACCTCCCAAAACCTTCGAACTCCAGGTTATCGGCCCTTGCTTCCCTCGTGTGGCCTCCCATTGAGCACTGCCTCAGCTGTGCGTAGGCTCTGCTCCAGGGGTAAGCTCCTCAGGACTCCTTGCCCATTCTCCTTCCTTTGTCCCTGGGATCAAAGAGTACAAAAGGAAACTAGTTATGCTGCCCTCCTACTTCATGATGTTGGGACTGAAGCTATGCTCACTATTGTGCCTTGCCCAGCCATCTGGAATGTAATTGGTGTTGGTGTTCTGAGCTTGGTTTGAAACAACAAAACAAACAAAAAACCCATAAATTGGGAGCAAAGACCTAGAACTAGGAGGGACAGGCAGGGTTTGTTCTTCCAGCCTTTAGCCATTTATTTGAATACCATTTGTATTTTGTATGGGAAGAATACAAAAGTGTCGTATGTATAAGACACTTTTAAAAGGTACTTGTAAAACAATAAAGATATATAATTGATAATATGAAATTGCAGGAAGGGATACCTAATCCCAGCTGTGTCTTCAAGGCCCTCTTTCTTGGAGAGTGACACCTTGTCTAGATGAGACTGGATGAATGGCTGTGTCTTGGCTGGGGAAGAGGGAGCTTTCCAGGAAGAAAGGGTGGGGCAAAAGGTAGAGAGTAGAATGGATAGTATCAGAACTGTATGTACTTTGGTATTTCTGAAACATAATGTCATGTTGGGACTTCTCTGGGAAAGCCTGGAAAGGTCAGGGCTTATGTTATTAAAAACTTCCAAACTAAGGAGTTTGGAGTTGATCATTTGAGCAGAGTTAAGCTACCAGTGGCATCCAATCAGACGCAAGGCACAAACAGAACTCTGTTTAACTGCTACTGAGTACTGGATTGAAAGACCAGTTAGGAAGTCAAAAGAATGGGCCAGACCAACAGTGAGAATGGATTGCCCCACAGACAGCAGCAGGAACTGGGGTGGAACAGAAAGTGGTCTTCATTTTAATAAGGAGCACAATACAGAGACTTACTGATAAATAGTAGTGATCAGAAAGAACAGGTGGTTGGATACAGGTTTAGCCTCTGAAATGTTAGTTTCATAGAAGGATGGTCTAGAAACACCAACAGGAAGCAGGAGGATTCTATCCTCACAGCCTGGCCTGGCCTCCCCCAGCCCAGGGTATGTGAAGTGCAGAAAAATAAAAAGATTCCAATAACAAGGGAAAGATGACTTTGAGGAGAGCTTTTCATAAAAACCGAGACAAAGGAAGGAGCCTGTGCTCTCCCCCAGCCTGGAGAGAGGCTGACTGAAGCAGGAAGCTGCTGAATAGAGGCGTAGCACGTGGCTCCCTCAGTTTCCTCGCCTGGAGACTGGAGTGAGTTGTCTCACCTCACGTCTCCCACATGCAGTGTTCCTCCTGAAGAATGGAAATGCTCATCTCCACCTGCTCTTTCCACAGGAGTGTTAAAAGGAACAAATGAAAGAAGGGATATGGAATCATTCTGGAAACGAAATCATTCCCCAGGTATGTGGGGAATTCCTGTGCTTTTCATCTCCTGCTAGGCAAGGTCTGGTTCTGGTAGGGGTGCATTGCGATGGGCTGCCTTTCCTCCTGGCTCTGGAGCCTCAGCTCTCCCCTCTCTAAACACATCGTGAGTCTCTGTCCAGGTCATACTCAAAGCTCCCTTGTCCATGAAGAACCTCTAAGGCTAGAGGATTCTATTTGAAGAGCTCTAGATTGCTTGGTGCATAAACTTAAGAATTTGAGTCTATGCCCCTTCTTTTTCTTTAATCCAGAGGACCAGGTGCAAGTGTGCTAACATGGCTTCTTGTTGATGCTCGCTGCCTGACCCACTCACTCATCCTCAGACTGAGACAGTCTGCCTTCCCTGAGTGTAGAAATGGGGATCCTGAGGTCCACTCTCTACAGAAAGAGGCCAGGACAAGTCAAAGATAAGGCACTAACTCATCTCCTTCCTAGCCGGGTAGTCTTAGCTAGTCATTTCACCTCGCTGGCCTCAGTTTCCGCCTTTCTATGCTGACATGGTGTTGGTGCCTCCTTCAAGGGCTGCTTTAGAGGTCCAGGAGCTGAGAACAGGGGAGGTCTTCTTCTAACTTGTAGAGCACTACTCTGTGCATCTGCTTTCCTAAATACCTCTGTGGTGCATCTTGTGGTTGTCTGTTGCCTAAACTATTACCAAGTTCTCTCCTTGTCCTAAACACCTGTTCTCACCAGACTGTGGGAGCCAGCCTTCTCACACAGTTGGAGCAACCAACTGTCCACAGAACAGGCTGTAACCACTACAAGAAAAGCTTTGAGGGACCCTTCATTTCAGCATTGAAACAGAAAGGATCAGGTCCTTGGAGCCAAGACCACCTTAGCTAAGCTGGAGTTTGCCTGAAGAAATGGAGAAATTGGAGGAAGAGGAGGGAAGGAAGGCAGAGGGAACACATGTGCAAGGGATCTACAATGGTGGATGACCAAAATAATCAGATCCCAAATCACATAGGGAAAACAGAAGAGCTGTGTTTCAACCATGATTGAGATACAAACAAACAAACAAACAAACACCTATAAACAGGGCCCTAAATTAATACTGACATTCTTGGTAGCCAAGGCAAAAAACCAGTTTTTGCCCTAGTACATGAGACTATAAGGAAGCCACTTATTCTCCAAGCCTCAGGAGAGGACCCAGAGTGTGCTTTATCAGTTTTATCTCTAGTCCCCAAAGAATTGGCTCTAGTTTCACTCAAGTACTGCTATTTATTTGGTCCCCAAAGCCAAGGTAAAAATAAATACCCACTCCTTCCTGCCCCACCACCAAACCCAGGTGCCTCCCTCAGGTTCAGTGCAATTCACTGCCCCAGTGTAAAATTCCCAAAAGCCAGGCCTGCATTACAGAATGAAATGTGGATTCTCTCAGTGGAAAAAGTCTTCATTCCCCAGACAACCTCCAGTCATCTCCTACCACTTCAGTGTTGCTGTGAGCATCACCTCTGAGGCCATGGAGTGTGCAAGGAGACTAGTGGGGATGGACCAGCAGTCATTTCATGCGTTATGGTAGGTGCCCTTCTGTCCTTCAGGGTCAGATCGGTATCTGGAGAGCCGAGATGCTCCTCGCCTGAGTGGCCGGGATCCTTCTTCATGGACGGTGGAGGATGTGATGCAGTTTGTCCGGGAAGCAGATCCTCAGCTCGGACCCCATGCTGACCTCTTCCGGAAACACGTAGGTGCCTCTGTCTGACCTCCTGTGAATGTGGCAACCTCTCAATCTTAGAGGGCCTGGCTGTCTGTTCTGTCCATTGAAACAAGATAAATGATGTTGTCTCAAGCAGACACCATTGGGCACTGTGTTTACCTCACTCTCTTAGCACAGGCTCTCATTGAGCCAGATTCCTGCTGGTTTGTGATTTGGGCTTGGTTCTAGGTTACAGGATCCATCTGTCTCTTCCCAAGGGTGCTTTACCCCATCTGCTTTGGTGTGAGATTCAAGGATTTCAGCCCAAGTTAAAGAATCCTTTGCAAGTAGCCTCTGCCTCTTTGTCACCAGTCCCCAACTCTGCTGACCTATCTGTGAGCCCAGTGCTCCCTTCAAGAGACCACTTGGTTTCATGATTAGGCATTGCCCTCCTGCTCTGACCACACCCCAACTTTAGGATTCAAACCCATTTCCCTACCTCTGTGCTTCTCAGTGCCATCCTTCCTGTGGTTACAAAGTCTGCCCCCTGTCACTGACAATGGAAATCTTTTAGGTGGTGGGTTTGAAAGGGCTTCAAAGCAGCCTTAAGATCACCACTGCCCCCAAGAGGTCCACTTTGGGCTCAGGGTACAATGCATCTTGAGGGTAGATATAAACACAGCCTGAACACTCACTGCAAGGCTTCTCAGAGGCTTAGCCCAGGAAAGCAGCGAGAAGAGCAGGGTGGGGGAGGAGCATGTCCTATAGTGCCTGCCTACCTGGAGAGAAGTACTCAGAGGGCCAGGGAGAAGAGCAGGCTTTAGGATCCCAGCAGCCTGACTGCACTGTGTGCCTCCCACTGCTCTGGGTAGTCTTTGATGACACCTGAGGCAGTCAGACCAACCAGGCATCTGATGGCTCCTCCCCACCCCCAGGAGATCGATGGCAAGGCCCTGCTCCTGCTGCGCAGTGACATGATGATGAAGTACATGGGCCTGAAGCTGGGGCCCGCCCTCAAGCTCTCCTTTCACATTGACCGGCTGAAGCAGGGCAAGTTCTGAACAGGAGCCATTCTTCTCCCCGGAAGCCACCAGCCAGCTCCCAGGCACCTCTGTAGGGCTCTGGGTGACCTCAGGACTCCAGGAGGCTGGAGAACCACCACTGCTACCTTCCTGCCATGATGTGTCCTTCCATGAAGGACTGAGGAGGGAAGAATGTGGGCCCAGGGCTGGTGCTGTTCTTCCCCCTTAGCCTGCTGTGGCTCCCAGGCCCTTCTATTTATTTCAAGGCTAGCCAAGCCTCTCACGGGAAGTTTAGACTGAGCACCTTGCAGAGATGGAGGAAGAGGCCAATTCTAGGGCCTTAAAAGGCCCTGGAACCCAGGCCCCTTACCACCTCCTGGGCTTGGTCTAGTGTCCATGGCCCCAGCCATGCCTTCTCAACAGATCCCCAAACTCTGAACTTACGGTGCAGACCTTTTAAAAAAGATCTTTTCTTGTTGCTAATTTATTGCTTCTGGCACTTGGACTTAATGCTTTTCTTGCACCAGACATTTTTGGGAAGGAGACCACCCTCTGTGATCCAGAGAGGGCCTCTCCAGAGAAGTATGGCCCTGTTTCAGAGGACACTGCCCTAGGGCTCTTTCTCTGTGGGATGGACAGAGAGGTATATGCACACTGGGCATGGAAAGGTGAGGCTCCCTCTTCCTACACCAGGCCCTCTGTAGCCCCAGTCTCTATCTCTGATGGAGTTTTCCCAACCCCCTGCCCGCATCACAGCTCCCTGCCCTGGTCAGAATTGCTGCAAAAGATGGGGCCTAATGCCTTTAGGCCACGGGGCCCCCATGGTGGGAGGGAGGACCTCTAGGCTGGAGGGGTTTTGCCCTCTACTAGCTACTGTGCTTCCTCCTAAGCAAGTCAGCAGCACTGCTGCCCCCACTGCCATCTGGACTATTTTATGTCGTTTGTTTATAAATAAAAAACAGTACAAATGCCTGTGTCTTTTTAACTAATTGGCATCCAGGTTTCTCAGCAAGAAGGTTGTCCCTTTACTTAGTATTGGTGTTCACACATGTAAAACAAGGAGCCTTAGCCAGATTGTCCCTCGGAACTCTTCTAGTCCCACGGTCCAAGTGCCTGCAGCACCCAAAACCTTGCAGGCCCAAGCTGCTTTCCTTTGTCGGTCAGACAGTTGTTAGCACTGCAGCTTCATCAGAAGCAACCAAAGGGCTGGAAACTCCCAAAAGCCTCAGTAAGCTGCTTTATCCTCCTCGTGAGGTGAGAAGTGAGGCAGTACAGGCCTTCACAGTACCCATCGCACCAACCAGGGCCTGGAATCCAAGCCCAGGGTCACACAGCCTGTTGGCTTACAACGTAAACAGGTTTATAGAAGGTGGAGAAGGCTGTCTGGAGCCACAGTATAGGACAGGACAACCTGAGACAACGGCCAGGGAGCACACTGAGCTTCACTGTTGCTGGGTGACTCAGAGCTATGGGACAGCTGGGGCAAGTATGGCTGCAGGGGTGAAAGATTTAGCACCTGCCAGGACTTCATAGAGCTTCACTCGGCCACCCTGCTGTGGAGCTGGGCCTCTTCCTTTCTGTTTGTACACAATTGTCTTATTTCCCTTCCCAAGCTTCTGCTTCCAATCCATGCAACATGCCATATCCAGGCATGCCTTTAAGTGGCCCACAGGAAGGCAAACGGCTACTTGAGTGAAGGTCTCCCCCTTGCTCCCAGTAAGTAATAAGGGCTACTAGGAATGTAGAGTGTGTAAGAAAGTTTTACCTGAGAGCCAGTCGGTAAAGGTGTTTTTGTGCAAGTCTTGAGACCTGCATTTGGACCCCAAAACTCACAGGAGGAAGGAGAACCAGCTCCACATGTGTGCTTGACACATACGCTCTCTTCCCCAACATCATACATAGTAATAAATCAGTTTTTTAATAATATAATATAAAGGTACTTGGGGCTGAAGAGGTGGCTCTAGCAGTTAAGAGTGCTGGCTGCTCTTCGAGAGGATCCAGGTTCAATTCCCAGCACCCACAACTGTCTGTAACTCCAGTTCCAGGGAATCCAACACCCTCATACAAACATACATGCAGGCAAAACACCAATGCAAATAAAAATATATTTTTCTGAGTAGTGGTGGTGTATGCCTTTAATCCCAGAACTCAGGAGGCAGAAGCAGGCAGATCTCCTAATCTATAGGGTACATTCCAGGACAGCCAAGGCTACACAGAGAAACAGAGAGAGAGAAACAGAGAGAGAAACAGAGAGAGAAACAGAGAAACAGAAGAGAGAGAGAGAGAGAGAGAGAGAGAGAGAGAGAGAGAGAGAACGAATCTAAGCTAAGCCCTGCCCTCAAGGAACAGGCCTCACTGGCAGAGGCTGCATGTCACCCAAGCCTAGCTGGTTTTCAGGCCCTTCTAGATAATAATCTCTAATAAGAAACGTCTGTTTGGCACAGAAAGGGCTGTTGTATCAAGGGATCCCTGGACACCACCCTGTACATTTTGGTTCATCCTGGGAGCAGCTAGGTCCTGCTAGCACTCAGTGGAGATTGGGGTTGGGGACTAAGGGGGTGGAGACTTTAGATAGCAGAGCCAAAAAAGTGGTAACTAGTGGGTTGTGTGAATGCTGGGGTCTGAAGAGGTGATAGAGCAGGAAGAAGTGTTTTTGGGCCCTCAATTCTACAAGCTGCTCCAAGGGCTGCCATGGCCAAGCTGTGTCTGCTTACTATGTCTAGCAGAGACTATGGTAGTTGAGGACAATCCTTGCTCAGCATCCCCCAGCCCTGCTTGCTGCTAGTGGCTGAACCAGAAGGCATTGTTGGCCTTCATGAGATCACAGAGGCCAGTGTGCAGGCCCCGCCCACTCCCTAGACCCTGGTTCTCTCTGCCTCCATGCCAAGTCCTAAGTATTCTGGGCCATGGAGCTGTGGGAGCTCAGGGCTAGCACCTCCCATGCCCCCACAGGAGCTAGCAGGACATGAAGACCATAGGCCTCCTCTTTCTTCCTCTTCCTGCTTGCCCTGAATGCCCTCACTGCAGCTGTGGTGGCTCTCAGACTCTAACCACCTCAAGAATCCAATCTGGAAAGATGCGGGCTGGTGGTACCTGCCACCCAAGGTGGAGGCCGGGGGCTTGGGGGTGAGTAGAGGGCCTGTGGCACCAATTGTAAATGAGTTTCCAAGCCTAGGGTGACATGCAACTGAGGTCTAGTTCCTGAGGCACCTCAAATTGAGTTTGTACTTGGTTGGTTAGTTTTTCAAGACAGGATCTGTCTTTGTAGTCCTGGCTGTCCTGGAACTCACAGAGATCATCCTGCCTCTGCCTCCCAAGCTGGGATTAAAGGCGTGTGCCACCACCACCTGGCGTCAAGTTTTATGTATATATGCAAAGGCCCTTTTCATGGGGAGAGACTATAGCTGTTGTCAGTGTGTCAAAACCCAAGAACCTGCCAACCCAATCCTAAATAGTTTCAATGACTCATACTAGCCTCCCGGCAGGTTTTAAACTAGATGAGAGACAGTGATGGGGCTACTGACTAGCCCTGAGAGTTTGGAACAATGGCCTCTTCTCTGAGGCCCTCTGTAACCTTCTTATAAAGGCCTGGATACTTTAAGAACCTTCTAGATGTGAGCATTCCCCAGTGACAGCTAGGAAGTCCTAGACATAGGTTGAGGAATTATGACAAGGAAGGCACCTAGAGGGTATGGAAGACTCAAAGATCCCGCCTAACCCTCCAGACAAGTCCCTTATCCAGCCCCAGGCCCAGAGGCCAGGCTCAGGCCCAGTGGGTTCTTTCCTAGGCACCAAGAGGAGTTACTGGCCCTCTGCCCTCCTTTCTTTCTGATCCTGCCTAGCCTCTGCCAGTCTAGAAGCCTCCAGAAGCCTCGGCACCTGTGAGTCCACTGGGAAGCCCTGGCCAGTCTGAGAGCCAGGCCCAGGAAGAGCATTCAGCAGTAAGGACTACCAAAATCCCTTCTGAGGAAGACTGCAAGACCCTCAGGAAGTCAGCACAGACACAGATGTGGAAGTCCCCTGTGGTGTCCCAGGGCAAGCAGCTCCTGCCAGAGCTGCCTCTGAAGGAGCCCTCACCTGAGGACTCTGGCCTCAAGGCAGTTCCCAGCACACATACTCTTTATGTGGGCCACCTGAACCCCCAGTTCTCTGTTCCTGTGCTTGCCTGCCTGCTACGAGACACCCTTGAGCGGCTGGAGCTACCAGTGGCCCGTGAACAGATTGAGGTAGTGAGGCGGCCACGAAACACTTATGCACTGGTACGGGTAGCTGCCCCCAAGGATGTCCTGGCTTCACTCCCCTGGCGCCTGCAGATGGCCTTGGAGGAGCAGCTAATCCTCAAAGAGCTCACAGCCCGTGGCAAGGAGCTGGTGTTGAGTGAGGGCTTTGAGTCCCTAAACCACAGGGAGGTAAGTGTGTGCTATTTACCCAAGTGTGCCCTGAAAGGCTTGCCAAGGAAGAGACTCGTGTGAATGTCATGGGGAACTGCACACCCTGTGGATGTGACTCAAATGACTGGCCCCTCTTCTCCGAGGGAGACTAATTTTTGCGTTCCAATTAGGTTTGGGAGGACCAGGCCATACCAATTCCTGGTTTTCTCCTTGCCCCACCTCATTTGTTCCGTTGACAAACACCAATACCTATACTGTACCAGCAGCAAGGGTGAAGCAGGCAACCTGTGCCATCTTGGCAAGCCCTCCAAGAGAAGAACCAACTCTGCCAGTCCCAAAGTCGGGGTGGCTGTGGGAGAACAGGCAAGCCCTCACTTCCTACTGGGGACAGATTTACAGGGGACCAGAAATCCAAGCTTAGGACTTACAGAACACAGAAGGCACTCCAAGAAAAGATGTTCAGGTAGTGACGTAGGACAGGCTGTTTGGGGTCTCTGGAGCTGAGTCTGGAGGCCAGAGAGGCAGCTGAGGAAGAAGCTGGACCAGAGGGTAGGTCCAGATTGCTACAGCTGTAATGACTTAGAGCAAAGCAGGGTCCTGGCCAGTTTTGTTGGGGCTGAAAGCTTATACTACCAATGTCCTTGGTCTTCTGCCCAGAGGGTAAGCCCACGAGATACCGTTGATCGCTGTGCACCTGTTTGTGCACAGCACCTAACTGGTGCTGGTTCTATTACGTGTCTGAGGCTAAATTCATCTTCTCTGGGGGAGCTGCTGGGCTGCTAGCTTCTGTCTGTCTCCACTAGCAGTCCCACTGAGTCTCCAGCCCTGTAGAGGTGAAGGCTGCTGGGAAATGAGAACGGCCCTTGGATTGGCATTTAGAGCTACTGAGAGGATGGGAAGAGGAAGCTGATGGGCTGTCAAGACCCTAAGGAAGTTGCCATGCAGAAACAAAATGCCCAGAGCCCTAGAGACAAAGCAGGAGACACAAAGGAACTCAGGAAGGGCAGAGAAAGCTAAGATTCAGGGGACTTTTCATTGGCCAGGAAGTAGCTGGCAGACATTCCAGGGACAACAAAGAGAGTAGGGGTAGGGTCCCTCAGTTCAGAGACCTGCAGCTCCACCCAGAGGACTGCAGGGGGTACCATGATGCTTCCTGAGAACATCTGGGCCTGGGGACTCCCAAGTGGAGAAAAGACTGGCCCACAGGTGTGCTGTCCCCCAGCTCCAAAGGGCAATTTCTTTACCCACCCAGACATCCTACAGCAGGTGCCAAGGAAGAGCCCAAGAACTGGCTTGGGCCCTGGCTTTTGCACACATACAGAATTGGGCCCTCAGCCTGGGAGAGGACCACTGGCAGGAGTGTGATGGGGGGGGAACTGGCAGTCTCTTATTTTAGGGCCCCCTGCCTCTGTCTTTGCCTATACACCCACTCTTGATCCCCCACCCCAGCAGGACGACAGTGGCCCAAGCCCCAGCCCCAGCCCTGGCCCCAGCCCAGGCTTCAGGCGCCCGCAGCTGCCCCAACTGCCAGACCCTTCCCCTAACTGGTGCTGGGCTAGGCATCGGCAGATCTCTCAGAAC